ATAAAATAAAATTTAAAAAAAAGATGTAGAGCTAAAATGACATTTCTGGTGTATCTGATTAATTAATTAATTAATTAATTAATTTGGTACCGGGGATTGAACTAGGGACCTTGTGCTTGCAAAGCAGGAGCTGGAAACACTGAGCTAAATCCCTGGCCCCTGATTAGCTTATTTTTAAATATTGTGCTAATAGACACATATATTGGTGTCTTAAATGATGCCTATAAAGTAAACATGTCTTGGAGATCCAATTTGAGTATTTATGCAGGATTTCCTAAACATTTTAGATTGTCATACATTATATCCTTTTTAATACCATTTATCATTTCCAGGACAACTTTTCTCTTGCTGATTTTCTCCCTGTGGAAGCATTGTATGAAAGTGCAGCATAGTCACAAAGGATCCAGGGATAGGGGCCGGGGATTTAGCTCAGTGGTTTCGCCGCCTGCTGCACAAGTGCAAGGACCTGAGTTAGATCCCTGGTACCAAAAAAAAAAAAAAAAAAAAGGATCCAGGGATGTCAGTACTGCCACTCATGTAAAGGCCTTCCTCCTATTGTGCATCATTTTTCTCTGTCTTATTTTGTAGAGGTTTGGGAAACTGAGTTTGTAGGGAAAACACTTTTTCATTTACTTACCCAAGCAGCTGAAATAGCTTTTCCTTCATGTCATCCCTTTGTCCTGATACTTGGAAACACTAAGCTGAGACAGACTTTTCTTTTGATGCTGAGGTGGCTGAGGTGCAGATATGCAGATGTGGAATCCACAGGTCCACAGACCATTTAGGAGTTATCTTGCATATTCTAGAGGAAAATTATATCATAAAATTCTTGTACTTTCTAAATTTATATCTTTCAAATATTTTTCTGTTGTATTTAACTTTGTGAATGTTACAAATGTATGTTTGGAATAAACACTAAGCATATTGCAACCATTGCAATGGATGTGCAAGTTTATTATTATCATACTTATATTCTGAAGGAGATCAAAGCAGAGAACTATTTGAATATAAGAAATATCCATAATATCAAATATCACAAATTTTGCATTGCTAATTGCCATTTTTAAGATTATAAACTAAGAAACCTGTGATAGCTACTAAAATAGAAACTTTAATTTTACACTCAGAAATTTCATAATTTAGAATAAATACTTAAGATTTTAGAAAAGAAATGATGCAATATAAACTATTTGACATCAGATACACTAAATCTATTGTTTAATCATATGGGCAGTATAGAAACATTTTCTTTAAAATTTCTAAGAGTAATAATGCTAACTTATTCCAGTTATCCACCTATATTATAAGTTTCAGGCTCATGAAATTCTTGGAAGACAATCATAATTATTATGAATATGTAGATTAAATTACATTAGAAATACATACACACAATAACACATAGCTTTCAAATATGTTCTAAAATACATTTCAATTTTAACACTCAGGACTACCAAATCTTAAATGTGGATAGTCAATTCATGTGTACCACTCTGAGAGACGGATGATGTCTTTCTTATATTTGCTATCACTTCCCAAATCATATTTTGCTATGTTGAAAATTTAGAGTTGATTATGAATGACAACCAGATTAAAAATATGAAGTTTGGTTATGCATATATAATATTGTCAGTTGAGTGGCACAAATGAGTGATACATTAATAATATAAGTAAAAAAATAAAAGGAAATAAATTAATATACTGTACATTCAATGTTGTTAAATCTTCAATAAGAGATTCTTGTTTATTTTTAGAAATGAAAAATTCGTTGTTCATAGATAATTTGAATCTATGCTCTGGATAATCTGTATATCTTATAGCCTTTCAGTACTCACATAGTGTGATACTATTTTTTCCTATAAAAAGTGAAGTTATGAGATTATAAAAAACATGCAGCAGTGTTTGAAGCTGCCAAGAGAAAGCTAATGTAATAATCCCAAGCAAAGTGAGACTGGCCCCACTTTCAGAGAAACATGAGGAGGAAGAGACTACTCACAGACGCAGCCAAAAGCAGTGAAAAAAGTATGTGAAGAATATAGAATTTGTTGTTTATATTAAAATTTCTTATTTTTATGATTTATGCCTTATTAATATGTACTTGAAAAGTAATAGGTATTGTTTTTATTTGTTTGTTAAATTAGAAGGCAACTATTAATTCATAACACTGAATGTGTTTTAGGTTTATTCTCTTGCCTTTTGCAATAGAAAATATACCTTTTTTTTGGTACCAGGGATCGAACTTGGGACCTTGCACTTGCAAGGCAGGTGCTGGAACCACTGAGCTAAAATCCCTGGCCCAAAAATATATCTTCTTCAAATGCATATTCTTCATTCTTTTTTTTCATTTGTAATTCACTTTTAATGATGTTAACCACATAATAAAATAGCTCATATATTCAAAATGTTGGTTAATTGTGGTGATGACTGGCATGTCTGTACATAGTAACTTTGCTTCTATATTAAAAAGAAGCATAATACTGACTTTAGCTTTGGTAGAAATATATTTTAAAAATTATTTTCTGAATCTCTTCTTATCTCTTCTGATAAAATGTACCAACTATTTGTGGAGGTGATTCTATATTTCTATTATCTCTTAGCTATTCAAATAATGACACATGTTAACAGCAGTATATCAGGCATGGTATGCAATGCAGACTATGCACACAATGAAATGTCATGTCATTATGAACATTTGCATATATAGTGAGAAAATTACAATCATCAGATCCAAAGCAAAATTTGGGAAACATCAAAAATATAGAAACAAGAAGCCCATGTGGTGGTGCACACCTTTAATCCCAGCACTTGGGAGGCTGAAGCAGGAGGATCACAGGAGTTCAAGACCAGTCTGGGCTACACAGTGTATTCAAGGTCATCCTGAAATATGTAGCAAGGCCCAGTCTCAAAAAGTATATATGTATATTTTTTTCAAGTTATATCAAAATAAAAATAAGCTTGAGTCATATGAGAAGTCTTTTTAAAAAGTCATATGCTATAATCAAACTGTATCATATTAATAATATATAATAATTCCTTCTAGTGGCAAGGAATATAACTTTAACTAAATCTTCACTAAAATATGTCCCCAAGGTTTAAATTATTTAATATCATTTCATTTAAGAAACTGGTTTTATTTCCTACACACACCTCCCACTGT